ATTGAATTGATTAAAAAAAGAAACATAAGAAAATAGAAAAAATAGTGGATGCTATACATTTCTTATTGCTTGTTCATTTTAAATATCTACAAAACAATATGTTAAGTCTTTTTTTATGTATTCCTTTTATTTTAAAGGAATGGAATGATGAGCTAATACTTTGAACACCTTTTTGGGGTAACAACAAACACATGCAACTTAATGACATTAGCAAAAATGTGGCTTTCCTTGAGCCTTTGTCTGAGAATCTGCATGTCAGAGTGTGTGTATATGCTGCGATCAGCTTCTTGATCACAGAATATACACAACCTTGATCTGTATCAAGGTTGATCGAAATGCTTATTTGCTATTCCTGCCTTAAGACAGCGAGCATCGCAGGTTTGTATTTGTCAAATGGGCTTCTAGACTCTTTGAACCAACGTGACCCCCCCCCCCCCCCCTCTCATTTTTCACCGCTCTCTGATTCTCGTTTCTCCTCCCCCCTGCCATTTCACTCCCAGCACTGTTGTTTGGCAAAAATTATACTCCCTCCCTGCACTTTGCAGGAAAAGAGTGGAGGGATGGGGCACATTGAGGGGGGAGAGGCAGAGAGGGCAACTGATTGCTCCTATTGTTTAAGAGTGAGGCTGGCAGCCTCTTAGTGGGGTAATTGACACCCAGGGGGGGGGAAATGTGTTTGGATGGGAAGGGAAGTCAAAGAAAGAGAGATTAAACCAAAAGGTGCTGTAAGGGACCACCGAGAGGAACTAAACCATTTCAATTTAATGTGAACAAGGTGTTTTGAAATAAAATAAATAAAATCCTCTATGAACTCACATTAAGTGTTTCATTTATTTGATATACACGCGCTGTTCTTGGATGTTTTGTATTTTGGAGCTCTTATTTTTCCATGTGATTTTTATGTACCAAGAAAAAGGAGCCATGGAAATGAAGTATCCATGTAGCTTCCTACATGATGAGATGTAATATAGTGAATAGGAAAAGAAGGCAATTTCATTTGTATAGCACATTTGAACAACAAGGCAATTCAAAGTGCTTCACATAGCGTTAAACCATTAAAAACATCCAAACATAAAGCACAAATTACTACAAGTCAATAAAAACCTAAAATGATGTTGAAACAAATGAAAACATTTCTGGTGTAGAGGGATGTTTGTTACCAGGTTAGTTAAAAGCCCCCACTAAATGTTATTTAACAGTTATCAGCAGAAGATTTAGTACATCCATTTGGAAAGAAATTCTCTAAAACCCAAACTGGATGTTGATTATACAAGATTCAATACTAATTGAATATAGATTGTAAATGGATTTCAATGCTTCTAAATATTCTAATCGGTGTCAAAAACATTGCTTTAGAATACTAACAAAACCGTCTATAAGACCTGTACAGTTAATATGTTATGTGCTTACATTTAGCTCAGGATTGCGAGGTGAATAAATAATATCTAGACACTTTCCTCACAGGAAGTGCATGATGCCAAAAATATACCCAGCCAACACCGTATAATACAGCCGTCAATCTCTCTTTTGTTTTGTTTCGGAGCCGATTCTGTCACCATTTCCTGTTATTTAAGATGTTCGTATTTTATTTTTTCTATTTCTTCTGTGTCATTTGTTTACTGTCAAGCGCTTGAGGAAACCGCAGGTGTTACAAGTGCTTTTTAAATGAACTTGACTCAACTGAAGGAGAAGTCATTTCTAAAGCAGCAAAGAAATAGCACGTTGTCATGGATATGCTGTTATGAAGATCATTTAGGGACACGTTCCAAAGGCAAATCAGATGTGGCATTTTTTTAAATCACAAGCCTTGCATATGATATTCAAAACCCCACCACCATAGAAAATCACCAAAAAAAATACAACAGACGTAATCCTGAAATCCTGCTCTTGCGAGGATGACCTTTAACCAGCAGGTCGACTCGAACGTCACAAAGTTCAAACCCCATTGTGAAAACAATCAAGCGTGCATTATTATCTGAGAGACGAGTTGACTTCACTGCGTCATCAAAGCGAGTCCAGCACGTCCTTCTGCATGTCTGTGCGTCTATTTCATATTCCAGTCACAAGCAGAGTGGTGCAATTGCTCAAAGGGTATGATTTGGTATTTGGGGTTTTTCTTTTTTTTTTGAGGGTGGGGGGGGATAGGTTTTGTGCCTCAAGATCTGTCTGGTGTGTGATGACTGCATGCTCAACACGCTCGTTAGCACCATCGCTTTAGCTCAATATCCACGATGAAAGAGAAAAAAGGAATATAGAAAAAAAAGAATCAGTTACATTTAGTTTGCAAGTCTGCTTAAGACATTTTTCGAGGGCTCCCAGCATGCACCTACGTCTGTACTTGTGTCACAAATTAGTGTACTTGTGAGACAATTATTTGTGATATTATTTTGTGCGAGCGTGTGTGTGTGTGTGTGTGTAGGTGTGTGTGTACAGTGTGTCTAAATTGGAAGGCTGTAATTAAATGCGTAGACCTCTCCACTATCTCCTCCTCCAGCCAGCGCCAGTGACGCACAAACCGCAGCACAGCCATGAGTCATCAGGCCCCCAGGATCACCACCCCTCCTTCTATCCCTCCATCCCTGCCTCCATCCACCTCTACGCGGCTCTCCACAACCCTCTCCGCCTCTCACTACACATTCCTCTGTCCCACTCTTTCTAAATTATCCAGCAACACAAGCCAAAGTCCCCCCCTGCCCACCCCCCATCTATACACTCCTTGAGGTTCATGCTCAATTTCCACCTCAATTCGACACGCTCCCGTTTATCTCCCCCGTTAACCTCTCCAACCGGTGGGTTATTGAGTTTGCCACGTTTGCAGACGGACAGAGAACACGAGGCGAAATCACGAGGAGAGAGAGAGAGACAGGGTGAGTTGTTGGGAGACGTAAGAGAAGGGCTGAAAGTGTCAGTGGGAAAGGGTGGGAGACGTCGGCGAGCGAATGAGCGGCAGTGACAGTGCGGTGAGAGAAGTCGACAAGGCTGTGAACAAGTGAGAGAAGCAAGAGAGAGAGAGGGAGAGAGACAGGGGAGGGAAGGGGGGGGGGGGGGGGGACTATGATTTGAAGCATTTGCCACCTGGTGTCCTGAATTATTATCTCACTCATGTTAATCTCTTATCTTCTCTGCACACACACACACACACACACACACACACACACACACACACACACACACACACACACACACACACTACCAACATTAGTACCATCACACTACCATCATTTAAAGCCAGCACAAGGGGAGTCAAAGCAGCATTTCCTGGTCTCAGACCGGGATAGTGAAGGAATCAGTTGGGCACCGGAGAGCAAGGATGAGAAAACACTACCCTCGACTCTCTTAAAGGAGAAAAGACGTTTGACTTCCATCTCTCAGAGTGTTTATGATATGAGTAGGAAGGGAGAGGATATTAGATGTATGACTCATAGACGTGTGTTTGCCTCTCTGCCCCACCAACGCCCTGCAGAGAGGCTTGCATCCACTGCTGCAGGAGGGATAAAAAATAAATAAATGGAAAAAAAAGGCAATTTCGTGCTTTACTTGGTGTGGTTATCCAATTAGTTACACAAAACATGTGGCTAAGCGGATGTATGCCAAAACGCTTCTGTTCCTGATAGATGTTTTATCCCCGGGAGAGCCTTCACAAATATACAGCACAGCTGTCTGATGAAATATTACATTTTTAGTGCAACGCTTTTTGTATTCAACATGGGTTGTTTCAGTTTGAAGGGGGATGATGCAGTATTATCCTCTGAGCCGTGATCATTCAAGGTATTCTGCTCAGAGATACCCTAAGCTGTGCGTTCTTCTGCAAAGCCACGTGGATCAATTGTGGGAGGGATTCCCAAGACGTAAGGACCATTCATAACCTTGTTTTATCGTGCGCACGCTAAGCGTCGCTGATGAAGCCACAGTTACTTCCAACATATGGATGAACACAAAAATGAGACGTTTAAATCTGTATTCAAAACAATGTACAACACGGCCCCCTTCTAATACTCACTCCGCAACGTGAAACTTTTCCACGTGATAACAGGGACACCGTTTGCAGACATATGCAGGGAACACAACTCCCCCCTTGCTTGAGCACTGATGACTTAAAATCCGAGGATTGCAGTGGGCGAATGACTCAATGTTATGGCACTAGATTCTACTCCACTGGAGTATCTCTCATTTATTTTAACATCTGAAATATTTAAGGCTCGAATTTAGACCTCGCCTAAAGCAAACTTTGAAGAATACAAAAAATTGAAATAGCCCACGAGAGGTTTAAAAAAACAAAAACTAAACATGTATGTCTGGTAAACATCGTCAGTTGTTGATAGTATCTGTGGACGGGATTTGAAACATTGCCTCTAGGCTTCATATCCATATTTTTGAACATATCTCTCCGCCTGAGCCTGCCAGAGTAATGGAACAAGGTGATGTACTTGATGAAAAACTGTTATTATTTGCAGCTATTAAATGTCTCATTACAGGATTTGAGTTTTAGAATTATAGGATTTGAAAAATGTCGGCCTTCTTTCCTTCCGTTGAGTAATCATCTTGTTCTGAGGCTTTGTTCAGAATCCCAGTGAATCTGAGTCATTTCCACTTTAATCACTCACCCTTAGAAAAACAGGACGTCTATATTTGAAATGTGCTCGGTCTCCTGCCGGTAAACTGCTCTGAAACTAGAACTTTTTTTTTTCAACTGCAGAGTCATTCACCACTTTGCTGTTATTGGGTTAGTGGACACTGGTAACAAAAGCAATGATATCTAGTCACATGAGGACATCCTGTCCCCCCCAATTAATTCCATATTACATGTGACTACATGTGCGTTTGCAACATGCTATTTAGAAAATGTCACGGTGTTCCACATATTGGATAGAATCTTACAATTATCATACTTTTTTAATCTTAAAATCGGACATTCTAAGAAATCTTCCAGTGTAACCCGGTCAGAGTGCACCTGTTGTTTGTCCGTGTGTGTTTGTCTATTGTAGCAGTGCTTTTCCTACCTCGTTTCATCACAGATCAGGGAAGCTGGGCAGTGATTTGTGCCCTTTGGGCCTCTGGCGGCTCATGTTGACAGCCTGTGCTCCTGCAGGCTTTGCACTCCTGTGTTGACCTTAAAAACAACAAGCAAGGTTTTCATTCAAATCTACTGAACATTTTCACCAAAGTTACAGAATGTTGCCGTCAGAAAATGCAGATTTATATGTATTTCCATTCCAGTTCGATTTGTGAATATTAGAAGTTTGCGCATAAAGTTGATGGTACGAATTCTCCACACTTTTAAGTGTCACTAAACCACTGTACCAAGATGATGGCAGAATTTCCTAAAACAAGAATGATTCATACTATTTTTAATCTACTCTTCTTCCATTCAAAATATTACATTTTGAATTCCATTTAGCTATTGGGCACAGTCATTGGTAATGTTCTTAGTAACACCTGAGCATTTCCTACTCTGTCAATGCTGTGCAAAAAGCCTATTGGGACCATCGATATTCGAGTTGGGATGAGGATGTCGCCTATCAAACAACCAATGAGGTCTGGTGGGCGGGATTTGGCAGCATGAAGCGCAAGATTGCAACCAAATGCAACGTCCTGAGTGCCAAACATGAGCAGAACTACAGGGAAACAAGAACAAACGTGAATGCCCCGATCAAGAGTCAGTGTTTGGTTTGTCCATTCTGGTCTACTGTAGAAACACGGCCGTATGCTCTGTGTGTAGATTAATGTGGCTCCTTTTTTTCCGGTTATTCTAAGTTATTACACACACAATAGAAAACATACTGATTCATATCACAAAATGTTACACAATGTACATGTAAAGCACATCTACAAACACACTACATGTAAACATACATTACATTAAATGTCATTTAGCTGACGCGTTTATCCAAAGCGACTTACAATAAGTGCATTCAACCATAGGGGTACAAACTCAGAAGAACAAGAAACAAGAAAGTGCAATCTCCTTAAATAAGCCCATTTTCAATTTGCTATAGATGAGTGGCGTTATAAGTACAATTCAAGTGCTACAATTTGTTAGTCTTTTAGTCGAGGTAGAGTCTGAAGAGGTGTGTCTTTAGTTTGCGGCGGAAGATGTGAAGGCTCTCTGCGGTCCTGGTGTCTTGTCTTGACTCGACACTTATACATATATGAATGTATATATATATATATATATATATATATATATATATATATATATATATATTATTTCCACACTTAATGAGGCAGTGAAAGCTAAGTGGTGTTTGATGTTTTCAAAAGAAAGCCTAAAGAGCTCCTTCTGCGTATCTGTTTTCAGCCACAAGCAAAGAGCAAACGGAAACTTGCTCCCTGCAGTTTCCTCTATATTACAGAAAAAAAGACATCCCAATTACTTCATATTAGCCTCTGCACGTCATAGGCCACATTTTCAGCTAACTTTGGGTAATTCTGGGTTTGTTGTCAGCATGCAGCCGGAAACTGAGATCAATTGGATTCATCACCATACTGTCTCTGAATAGCTCATCTTTGACAAGTAGATCGCTGGACAATAAAGCTGATATCGAGGTTCCGGCTTGGCTGTTTCCTTTTGGAGAGATCCTCACAAAGTTACCACATCTCTGCAGTTGAGAGGTTCAGAATGATCATATATTGAGTCAAATTGTTGTGTCATAACCACAACAATAAAAAGACGTCAATGTGTATTTGAAATGACTGTTTGACATGTCTTTTGCAAATTTACACACAACGTTTTGTTTCTTTTAAATTAGCCATTATGCTCGGGAGGATTAAATATGTCCATAAGATTGATAATTTTTGTGATAGCCAATCATTAAGTGAGTCATATTCGTCACCATCGGGCTGGCTGGACTAGAGTGCAGACTGAAACCTACTGATTGTAAGTAACACAAAATAGTCATACGGTGTGGAGCCTTTCTGCATTGATTCTCAGATTTAATACAGAGACAAAAATTATGATCCTAATAAAATAATATTTGTACACCACGCAACGCTGCTGAAATGTCATTTCATGAAGGTTTTTTGATAATAAATCTAGCGGGTGTAAATGGATGCACAAGCTGCTATCTACAATTTTAAATATTTCCTCACAAAGGTTTTACTGTATGTGTACAAATACGGTGACATTTTCGCTAAAAAAGTTTTGTTATTTTAAAATGTTTTCTTACAAAGTCTCACCATACTAAACATACTATATTTATTATGTTAAGTAGCTGAACCCACACCGTCTTAAAGGTGCTATATAAGTTATATAAGAGTTTATTAATACCCTCACCATTGAGGAGGAGGTTATTTTTTGGTTTAATCTGTTAGTTTGCCAGCAGGATCAGGGAAAAAACTACTAGCAGTTTGTTTTTGTTGCTGGAATTGCATTGAGAATAACGTCTGTGAATCAACAGACCCTGATCGTACCCACAATTATGTTTTGAAAGTGCATTTGGACAGGAAACATTTAAACGCTTAACTATTAACACTCAAAAACAAGCAGCGATGTGAGCCATCGGCTCAAAGTATAATTTTTTTTAATTGCTGCAGCAAAATGGGAGACTTGCTGTGGACACAAAGGTGCCGAATCCCTCACGGACACACGCGATCAATAGAGCGATCCTCCTGACAAAGATGATAATAACAGAGCAGTTAATAGACCCACTTAAATGAATCCTAAATGCTACGCTAACATTACCTTGAGACACTCAAGAAATGAGTGCACCAAAACAAGAATGTAAAATATACGCTTTAGTTTGTACATTAAAACTCTTTCTGAAATCCCTTGGCTTTTTCATCAAACACCACTATGGGATCAACATTTTAATAGTAAATAGCAGATAAATTTGTTTTTCTTGACGTCAAGCATGACGTTTTCACAGAGTAGCTCTAGTCTCTTTACGGGTCCATCCGTTTAGTGATTCCAGGTTTATGTCTATCAGAGTCCATAAAAACAAATCTAAGGGGTATATATATAGTTTATCAGCGCGACATCGGTCCGGGTCAAGATGGGGGACAAGATAAAATGTTTCAATTACAACGGACCATACGATTCCCTTTCTGTATGCACACAACACAACATACATCACTGAGGGGCTTCACTGAGAGTCTGTTGCCAAGACAGCTGACCAAAGGCCTTTTCATGCCCAAGTCCCAAACAAATAGGCTACATGGTCCGTAACGCACATCAATATTTCAGACAGACATAAAGATTTTTTTTAAAGGAAGCACATGTAGCAAAAGTTCAACTCCTGATTGATGAAACTTGAAACATGAAATTTGTTAGATCATGTTAACTATCTCCTGTGTTCTGTAGTTGTGCCCATGAATTCCACATTTGCTTTTTATTTAATTCTCTCTTTTTCTCGTCTGCCCAATTTTAGTATTATGTAACTCCAGTTCCTCCAGTCTATTAATAAAAAACACAGATTCGGAAATGTATGGGAACACAATGAATGTGGAAACAATGGTTTTGTCCCTGATTGCAACAATGGAGCAGTCCCATTATGCCCGGCTTTGGCTGCTTACCATTTTCTTTAGTAACAAGTGATGAAGCTCTTGGGGTTATTTATAAATGATGAAGATCCCCAAGCTGTTTTTATTAATAAAACACGGCGGCTTCAATTAAAAGTCAACTATCAAATGTTGATTAACAGTGTGAGAAAACACTGATAATAGTGCTTGCATGTAAGCAAACATTGCTTTTATATATATATATAAATAAAAAATCTATATATATATATATACATATGTTATTTCAGCACACTCCAAAGGTGACCACCCCGGACACCTCCAATCTACAGCAGAACCTGGCATATCAGGAGAGTTATGCAACTTGGGCTCTACCACCACCACCAGTGTCTGGACTCCCAAAGGGGGGGATATGCCTCGTCTCGGCTCGAGATCCCGGCCCCTGGTCTATCCTGCGGCAGGATGGAGTCCAAGCCCCAAACAACAATATCATGTTATGCCTGTTATAATAAAGCATTGTTCAAATTTCAACAAGTCTCTCCGGATTCAAGTATATATATATATATAATAAATACACATCTATTGAAATTATTTAACGCTGTTAAGCCGATATATTTGTGTTAAGGCGTCCTTCTCTTGTTTGCGTTCTGTCAAATGCTACTCTAGCTGGTTCTTCAATGGACACAGAGATGAGCACTCACCTGGAAATAGAACATGCAGAGACACAGAGAAAATGATTGGAGGTGATCAGATGGAGTGACAAGAGAAGTGTTCATGACATTCAGTAACATATAGAAAACACTGCTCTGTTTCTGGGAAGAAGTGACAGATAAAGAAATGGAAAATTTCATTGTATGCCGCTATCTGGGAAATGGATTTTGTGAATACTGAGCTTGCTGGATATAAGCTTTTATTTGGTCTTTTACTTGCTGAATCCTTAAAAGCTCAGATTTTACTCTGGCTACACTTTTTCTTACTGCGTGTAAAAAAGTGTAATAAACTTCCCAGATTAGGTAAAATATAATACCACATCCACAAACCTCCTGAGAATGAATTCACCTAAATAGGCCTATGCGTTAACATTTAAGTATCTCCGTTATTGTAGGTTTGCCATGATGGTTTGTACTGGTAATGTGTACATGAAGCTCTCCAGCCAGTTAGCTTAGTTTACCACAAAGACGGGGAAAAGGAAAACTCGGCCTGCCTTTCTCCAAACGCATGAAACAAATGCTATTATTCTACAACCTCGTTCCATCCGCACAAACATGTGAGTGAAAACAAGACGTTGTGATTTCTGTCACGGTTTTACAGATGATTGTCTTGGCTTGAAGCCATGTCTTTATGCAAAGTTAAGCTAACCCTCTCCTGGCTCTCCGGCTTCGTGTTTAATGAACAGATAAGTCTGAGCAGGGCTTCCGGCCAAAAACAGCGCTGCATTCAAACAAGATCAGGATCCAGACATTTTGTACTGTAACACCCTGTCAAAAACATTTATGCAAAAAATGAAGATTTCTTGAGGTTTGTTTTCATTACTGAAAAAAAAGTGATATTATTTCTTCATCAAAACCTGACTCCCACAATCTATAATTGTGATGCTAATTTTTAAGAACCTTATCAGATGAGGATTTCCAACAGTGTTTCCATCAATGTTAACTC